AACCATCTAAGTGCTGCGGGCTCCCCACCAGCTTAGGAAAACCGGGAGGAAAGCTCGGTCATGTGACCTGTGAAAGGCACAACATTTGTCCTCCTCCAATCCCAACGCTCGGTGTGTTCCCTGTGTAGGGTACCGCCTACTGCACCCTGCAATCCGTGAATGGGGGACCGGCCTCATCATGTTTGTGTTCTCCTCTGATGTAGTTTCCCCCCCATTATGGACGGAATGTAAATGTCCCAATGCTATATATAGCGCACCAACGTCGCTGCCACTGAGGAGTTCTGCCCCCTATGTAGAGGTGTCACCTTCACAATCCTCCTGTAGGGGGCGGCCCATCTCCAGTCACTTCTCACTACAAAACCCCCCCATTGGCTGCAACCGTCAGATAACGCGGCAAAGTACCCCTATACAATGTACACTGACCCCCCTATATAATGTACACTGACCCCCCTATATAATGTACACTGACCCCCTATACAATGTACACTGACCCCCAATACTGACCCCTATATACCCCATACACAGTGTATACTGACCCCTATACTATACACAGAGCACGCTGACCCCTATATACCCCATACACAGTGTATACTGACCCCTTTATACCCCACACACAGTGTATACTGACCCCTATATACCCCATACACAGTGTATACTGACCCCCATATACCCCACACACAGTGTATACTGACCCCTATATTCAGTGTGGTTGTAAAAAGTTGTGGTGACGTCAGAGAGAGTCATTGAGCAGCAGTGGGATCCTGTGTTCCCCCACTCACTCTTCAGCCCACCAGCCCCCCTCATGACATCACTCCTGTCAGTGACGTCACACTCACCTGTTGTGCAGCAGCTGCGGGGGGACTCCCAAAAGAATCCACCGATGAGAGGTACTGAGACTCTGCAGAGGGAGAGGAGCTGGAAGAATCGTATCCCTGGTACATGTCCTTCCAGAACCGGAGTCCAGAACCAGAACCGAGATCAGAGGCCAGAACCAGAGGAGTCCAATGCGAGGAGTCCAGAAGTTGAACCGGAGCCAGGATCGAGATCAGAGACAAGAGTCCAAACCGCGGGGAGTCCAGAACCAGGTCCGAGATCAGAGTACAGAAGATGGACCAAAACCTGGACCGATAATCAAAGTCCAGGACAAAGTGCCGGGTTCAGGACCACAGACAGTTCTCAGAAGGACCCGACAATCCACAATGAGGAGGGAGAGCTATGAAGTATGAGGAGTCAGGGAATGTTGGGGGTGTCCTGGAAGTGGGGTGTCCGGTGTCTCCCTGTGGGGGGCGCTCTCGGCTCCGGTGGTGTTGGGGTGGCTCCGGCAGATACAAGGTCTCCCGGTGCTCCGGTCGGTCGCCGTGCAGCCTCCAGCTCGGTTCTCAGATTTATGAATGAAGCTCACATCACTCTCCCTATTTATACCGGAGAAGCCCTCCCCCCACTGACGTCACATACCTTTCTTGCCTAATATCTCGGGCCCCAGGGCCCCCAGCACCCCCAGAATCGGCCCGCTGAAACCTCCATCTCCGGGTCCCCATCTCGCCAAATCTCAACTCTCCAGCTGCCCCCTGAGCCGAGATCTAGGGTCGAGAAGGGCAGAAGGGGCGGCCCCGCCCACCCGGAGTTCCTGTGACGTACATAGCCATATATGGTGTTGTCTTTGCTATGTTTATCTGGTTACTAGGGAGTGACGTCGGAGGGAATCCCTGCTCTCCGCTCGGCACACACAGCGCTGTATTAATAGTAACGAAGCCGAACGAGGCTCAGAGACCCGGGACTAATACACTGAGACCCGGGACTAATACACCGAGACCCGGGACTAATATAC